ACAGAGCAAGCAAGGAACACGGAAACATTAATATGCTAATGGCTGTCACATGACTTAATGAAAATATGTGTTTTATTAACAGCAGGGAATTGAAACAACTTCTGGGTGCTCTTGCCCCAAAACATAGAAACATAAGAGAACGCAACTATTAAAAAAAATTTCCCATGCTGTAGAAACAAAGCTGCCAGGCTCAAATGTTTCAAAAGGACCACTAGCCTGTCATTCATTTTAGCTATGTCTGTGTTCATGATGCTGAATATTAAGGAAGGAATCTTTAAAATGCTCACTCAACAAGATACATGATTTCCCAGGGCACATAAGTAAAGGCAGCTGTTACATGGTTCTGTTTTTATGTTCTGACCATCCTGGCACAGAACAATGGTCTGTCATGGTAATTATATCGCTAACTTTATTACCTTAAATCAGCTGCTTTCCTAATTGTAATCCCATTAAATACCCACATTATAACCATACAGCAATAATTTAAGGGAGAAGGCTTAAATGAAACTGTCCAGAGCAAAAAGAAATTTCAAAAATACATAGACTATGAACAGCTCAATACAAGCGACACGGTACGAGCAAACAGTCTGGAGAGAAGCACACCAAAGGGTGGGCTGGTGTGATGATTTATGCTGAACTGAATGGGGAAGACCTGGGTTAAGCCTCAAAGCTTGAAATCTCACCCTGGGACTGAGGATTGTCAAGAGGACAAAGGATCTGCCGCATCATCCTCATTTAATGATGTAAATGGCACAAAAAGAGGCCTCTGAAGAAATTCAGTGTTACAGAGATGCCATGCTGCAGGCTACGAAGTAAATCATAAGCAAGACGGTGGAAAGCACAGGGCTTTGGAACCATGTGGTTTGGACATAAAGGTCATCCACAGCGAAGCACAGCACTTAGTGAATGTCTGGAAAGCACCTAGAAAACATGTCAATGCAAGTTACAAACTCCTGGCTGAATCTCCTAAAACCCAAATAACATAAGTCCCTAGTTGCATAAGCAGTCTCAGGAATTTCAGGGAATAACTGGAATGGATTTAATCTTTCATCTTCAGATACAGATATTAAATAAGCTGTAAGAAATGACTGTCTAACAGTCACCAGATAAGAAAGTACAATTAAAACCTAAATAATGTATTCATAAGCAAAAAGCTAACACAACAGCTGAAAGAGACACATCAAGCAAGTACTGATTAGCCACACTGGGGGAAGGCAGTACAATTAGGCACGGCTGAGGCTAACACCGCTCCAGCAACCCTGCAAAACCAGTACTTCATGGCAGAGGTTTGATCAGTACAGTAGAGCTCATGCAATGCCACGACACAGTTTGGGAAAAGAAACTGCACAGGGCAGTCAGGCAGAGAGGGCAGCTGCAGACACAGCTCCAAGACTCACAGCCAGCGCTGAGCTTGGGCGGCTTCCTGCAGGCTTCCCCAAACCGTGCCCATCGGCTCCTTACTCTCATTTCTCCTTTCCTTCTCTTTAGCTGATTTCTCCTGTCTAGTCTCCCACATAAAAGATAGTATCTGTGGGCTGTTGCATCAATTGCTTTGCCTACCTTTATATTCCTGATGGAAAGATCTTATG